GAGAGAGAGAGAGAGAGAGAGAGAGAGAGAGAGAGAGAGAGAGAGAGGGAGAAATATCGCATAAAATGCGAGTGGTTTTTCCTTTTTCGATTCGCCGGTATGCTTTCTGCCTACAAGAATATGTCGATATTTTGGTTGCGAGAGAACAACCATCACCGCAAAATATACATCACAGTCACATCAAGTATTATGTGGAAAAAGTAAAGGCGCTCACAATACGAGCCGAAAGAAAGGAAGGAAAGAAAAACTCTGTAAATTATTCGAAGAAGACAAAAATGAAATGTGAAACTTGCCGAATATTTGGCGCAAAACGTGATATGTGTGACCATGGGAACCATTCGAAATGTGATGCATCGAACAAAATACTAGATAAACTCTAGTGAATTGAATTTCAACCACCGTTTTCTCTCATTCCAATTAGAAATTAGGCATCGGATGCTACATAATATTGTGTACACTTTTGGACTTTTCGTTCATTCGATGGTTCGTGCTGCTTCCATTTCAACTAAATGGCATATCGTTTGTTCTCTCTTCTCCATTCTTTCTATTTGTGTGGCTTGCATGCTACTCAACAAATGCGATATTTGCACACATAATCGCATCCGTGTCATCCGCTTACAATTCCAGCAGTGGATTTTATGCAATATTTTTCTTTATGCATCACAATTTTTCGGTACAAGTGGAGTTTTTTGGGGATGGGAGTGAGGTAGAAAAAAGAGAGACATACACACTCAACAGTGCGCACACAGATCATTCGAACACATAAGCATCACTTATTATTAATTCAATGAATTATTTAGAGTTTCCTGACAAGAGTAAATGCATTTGAAATTGAAACACAACAATCAAGAGCGAGAGAGAGAGAGAGTAGAAGCTAAAGAATGAGAAAGAGAGAAAATGGATAAGAAATAGAGAACGTACGAAAAGCAGTGAGGGAAGAGAGTGATATAAAATAGAGGAAGAGACATAGAACGGGTGTAGAAAAAAATCAACTGATTCAATAAACAGAGAAGGAAAAAGCAACATGCATACTCCAAACAATTGCCAAATACATTCACTGTCGTTTGGTTCTTTTTCCATGCACTCCACTCGAACTATTTACTCGGTTTTATGAACATTTTTATATTGAATTCAAGTACACACTGGACGACGGCTTTTCGAAATGTCATGTTGACGGTTTTTCTGTCGATCTCTTTTTTTATGGATGAATAAAAATTACATCCATTTTATGCATGCCATGTAAAATTGGTCAAACATTTTACACGGATAAGTAACATCAAAGGCATCTTTTCTTCTGTTCCACAACCTCCACGAGACCTGATCTCTCACTCTCTCTCTCTGCATGTTTTTCCATTTATTGAATTCAAAGCTATGAGGTTGGTGATGAAAAACCACACAAACAAATTTCAATTTATAAGCAACAGCACAAAAAAAGAACCATCTACATATTTTTGTAACATTCTATCTCTCTTTCTTTCTCCTTCCCGATGAGCTTTGTTTTATATTATTCATTTTTTCCTCATGGAAGTTTTTTTTTTCGAGCACGCAATCTAAATCTGCACTTCAATCATTATGTATAGGTGCGCTCATGCTTGTTCATTGAATGGCTTATAGTAACCCGTTGATGTATCCAGTAGAATACCACTTACCATAATGCCATTGCATCCGAACTTTGCTTACCTATTACTTGATGGATTTACTTGATTCACTTCATAGGCAAAAAAAAACCCACACACACCAGAATAAAAAAAAAAAATGAGAAATAAAAGAAAATCGCACATAATCCATACATCAAATTGTTCCCGATATAGACGATATCACTCTATAAGCGATGTCGTTATGTTAGTTCTCTCCCTCTCTCCTTCAGTTTTTTCTACATGTCCGATTTGCAAAGAAGGTGAGACTATCGACACGGCAATTCGTACGAATGATGTACGTTTGAAGCTATATGAAAACACGAGAATGTTTTGGATAACACCCAATTTTCCATTATCGCTTGAGCGCTCAATCTACGCAAAAGAACTTCTCGATTTGCCGCATACACACATTCACCAAAAAACGAAGAACATTCTCGATATTTTTTGATGAGGAACGTGCATCAACCGGTTGGGGCTAAAAGAGAGATAAAAACAAGATCAGAAATAGAGTGAACGGAATTGCGCGAAAAAGCAAGCATGAACGAGAAATCGAGAACGGAAGAAAGAGTAAAAAAAAAAACATGAAACGAACGGGTACCACATGTATATAAAGAGTGAGTGCTTTTTACACGATTCGTCAACTGTCAAATGTGATTTTTGAAAAAAAGTCAAACACACACACGGTTTTGCATTGAAGCCACGAATCCGAAATGAATCCCAATACATCTCTTTTATGGAACGATGTACTCATAAAGCTCGAACCGGTTGTGTGTTGCTGTCTCTGTTATGCATATTATGCATACATAACCAATTTGAAGTGCACACAGAGACGAAAATGTTGGTCCCGGTTCAAATGAATTGTGTCGAAATAATTTAACAAGTTCAGGCGACATAATTTCCTCTCTCGAACGAGGAAAAATGCTTTGATCATCAAAATTAAGAGCAGCATCCCGCCACCCAGACTTCAAAAAACAGGAATGCGCTCTCACATACCATTTTATATATATATGTGTACTTACATTCATGGCATTGGATTTGGTGTCAAAAAATGAATAATGCATACAATATCGCGCGCGCGATTCATGGAATATTTTACGTTTGAACATTGATATTTTGCACTAACGACGACACCAATCGAACGATACATCAAATGCGTACTTACCACGCGCCGCTGCCATTACCATACTTTGGCGAATGTATACGGTTGTAATTTCAAGCAGCTTTTTTTACCGAGTCTCGTTTTACGTACCAGAAGCTCGTTTGTAAATTGATAATCCAGATATTAAATCTCAAGGGAATATATTCACTCCAGCAATATGACATAAGCTAATTGATTGATAATTTACCTCTTAGAACGGTGTCGATAATGTCAGCTTTTTAAAGAAAGTCAATCAATTGTAAGAAATTTAATTACATGCGGTTCGATTTTCAAGCAATAAAACACGATAGATTCAGTGTAAGACATTCTTGGCCTTTATTTTTCATTTTAATATTTCCTTCTGAAGGTATACACAGTTTCAGTTTGTAGCTGTTTTTCATTATTTAATCCACTTAAAGCTATTATAATAACTCATATAAACAGAATTCACTTAATTTTGCTTAAAACATTCTAGATGCTAAAATTATAGTTGTCTAGTATCATTTTTCAACATCAATTACAATATATATTTTTTTTTCTCGTCAATAAAAATTAAATAAATTTCTCGTCATAACAAAAATAGCGTTCTCGATTCCATTTCCAAGGTCAAAAAACATATTCCGAAATAAATCATTTCAAAAGAAATCAATGAACGAATTATCATCAAAAATAGATATCTATATATATACGAAACTTAAACAGCGGTAGCAATAAATTGTAAGGATTTGAAATGAATGTAAACCATCATTTCGACCTAACATAAATAGAATTTGTTATTTTATTTATCTACAATTTAAAAAGTCTTGGTTGCATTGGTTTTATTTCCTTTTTCTTTTCTTATTCGTACACTCCCACATACGTTGCGGCATTTCATCATCTTCTAAGTCCATTTTCTCTATCATTTAGCGACGCTAACCATCCTTGAGTGGCTTATGAAAACGAGGAATTTAATTACAATAAGTGTTTGTTGTACTTGCCTTCCATTTTTGTGTTCCATCCCCCTTGTATCTCTTCTATCGCTCTTAAGAACTTATCAATTTGGAGTGGACTCAAGCGAGAATACATTTGGAAGTGAAAATCAAGTAAATTGTGTGCTGAAGGTGCCTATGTAAAAACGACATTTTCGTACGTAATGACAACGTCATCAATGGAATTCTTGGCTATACAATCACGAACTCCTTTTAATATAATATCGACACGACGATCCAGCGCTTCCAAATGTGGTTCCCACAGAACTGGCGCTATAAACAAAATAGAATTTAAGAAGAAGAAGAAAAAAAGATACGGAATTTGCCATCAATTCAACTATTTTCGGTTTATATCGTTCGGTGGTCGTCTCTTACCGATCGGGTCTCTTGCTAAGCTTTCGCGCAACACAGACGATAATGGTTTTGCTCCCGCTTGAAATCTACACACACGCAAATTGAAATGACAATTTTAAAAAAGCATAAAAAATGACAGCAATTGAAAATTCAAATTGAGAATAACTAAAAGAAAAACCGCAAAAAACGAGGAGGAACAACATTCCAGTTCATTAAAATTATTTGTTCTTAATAAATACTTACTCTAAAAGCCGTTCAAGTGTTGACGCTCTTATCATGCAGCACTGTAAAAATAAAAAACAACAACAAAAAATGTTTAAAGCTTCAAACCCAAAGAACGCTTTTTCTTGCTTTTCTCTCTTTCTCCGACATTTTTGTTTACCTGTAATAGCGGTGCCAGAATGGTGAGCTCATCATGAAATGGTTTTCCAAATCCACGTCCGTGGTCACAATGCAGCGTAAATGTATTGTTTCCAAAAATTCTGTATGAAATACCCGGAAAAATAAATGTTTTTTTTTTTAAAGAGTCGAAAATTTTAATTATCAATACACTTGAACGTGTTTTGTGAGACGGGGCCGAAATGATATTTTTGATAGGTTTCTCTTTTTTTCGTTCGTTATTTTATTTGGTTTTTGGCGTTGCGGCGGTAAAAGCTTAAGATATTAACACTCACTTGAACGTTTCGTAGTGATGACGATCCATGTTGCCTGTCAGGAAGTCGAACACTGCCATGTCCATCAAATCTATTAATCGACGACCCTCGCTATATGGGTGAATATCTTTCACCTATACAAACAAAAGTAGACGTTAAATCATCTCGTTCACAACATTTCACTCACTCTCTCTCCCCCAATTTTACTCGTCGTTTTTTTTTTCTTATTTACTTTATGCTGTCATGAACGAGACGAGCGAACAAGCAATATAGAGATCGTTCTTTATATTTTGTGCAGTGTTGGAGTGTTCGCGTGGCACGATGGTAAATAAAATTCAATTCGTTCTTATCAAATTCGATTAAATACGTAATTCTGCTTCATTACATTCAAAATTGTTTGTTTTTCAATTGAATAGAAAATAATAGTATGAATGGCAGCAATGGCATCACCAATAGTAGTAGCTGTATACTACCACCGCTACCACTAGCGAATACACCGAATGCAGCCGATGCCGATGAAAGAAAAGGATGTGGATGCGGATGCGATGCCATCGGTATGTACTTCAAGTTTAGTGAGATCAAGTGAATTGTAGAACGAAACGAAACGATGAGCACGCATTTGCTGGCACCGACAAGCGACTATCATTGTTCAACATCAAATGGAAATAAAATCAAGCACTTGAATGAACGAAAATGAAGAAAATGCTTTTGGGATGATGAAAGTCGTTGGAAAAAAGCCAAACAATATGAGATTGAATGGCGAAAGAGTGAGCCGAAGATAGCAAATGAATAAAGCACGATGGAAGCCACTACAATACTATATTTCAACATGTTTCGAGTGAAGGGGATGAGAGTTGAGAGAGAGGGAAAAAAACTACTCGACTCAACTTGAATCGTGCCATACAAATAAAATTGAACTCAATATAATTGATGTAGATGTTCAGTCAAACTGGGCAGGAGACATTTAAAACCAATTCTTATGATTATTTCCGCATTTCGGCTGTCTTACTCTAATACACACACAGCACGTGCACATACACAATAAAAACGACGATGCCAAAAGAAGAAGAAAAACATAGTAAAATTGATGGACAGCATTTACACTATTATTATTTTTGGCATTTGAACTCCGGTTGGATTCGGTTATTTTTGTAAATTGAGTAGTGAATAAGACGAACGGTGGGTTAAACATATCAACAACAAAAAATAAGATGATTTCTTACCATGCTACAATAATCTTGGTCGGTTTCCCATGATGCTTTTCTTCGTTTGTGATATGATCTTCGCCATGGATGCCGCCAAGCCTTATAAAATTCACCAGCAAACAGCAACAAAGCGCAAATCCCATTCATTTTCCAAGAAACGAGATTATTCGAGAAATGGAACGCAGCCGAAAAAACACACACATATATATAAAATCCCGGTACGCCGAATAGAGCAATATATAGATGAAAAAAGATGAAAAAAAAGACACGAACATTCATATAAGAATCAAAAGATGAATAATAGCAAAAAGCAAAGGATACAAGTGGAAGCGAAGCACAGCGGGCAAGAGCACGAGAGAGAGAGATAGAGAGAGAGAGAGAGAGAGAGAGAGAGAGAGAGAGAGAGATGGGTAAAATGGTGTTCTCATCTCAATGTATATGTGTGAATGTGTTCAAATTAAATCGATTTGTAACAGTTGATAAGAATCTCTCAAATCCCATTAACTGTAAGTGGAGTTCGATTAAGCCCAGCTTTCCTAATGCCGTTTCATCCGCCCGTTTGTTTGTGTATATTGCTTTGATTTTCAATCTACACTCTTCACCTCACCTTCTCTCTCTCTCTCTTTATTGCTCTCGCATGTTTCTCACTCTTCGATTCCGCTTATCTTTTCTCACTTTTCCATGCAATTTATTCGCTGCTGCTGTACAATCTCATCGAAATAAATTCGCCAAGATTTCCATCTCTTCTTATTCTCTCTTTTTTTCTTCGTTTTTTTACTTACCTTTCGTGTTGACCTATCAAATTTGGGAAGATATGCCGCAAACGAACCCTATCATTTTCAAATAACGAACAAAAGAATAAAAGGAAGACATTTAGCAAAGTCATTATATTGAGATTACATGCAAAGTAATAAAAGGAAAGGTAAAATCGAAGAAAAAAACGCACACATTTCGATGAAAAATGATTAAATATTTAAGTAAACGTATTTCTTAAATGGTGTTCAACATTACGCAACAGTACAACGATAGATAGAGAGATAAGCACGCGCGTATCAAATACAATGCGTAAAAAATTATTGCAAAAATATGATGTTGCAATAAAAGTAATCACGAATAAAATGCCATGGCAAATAAAACAAATAGAAAACTTTTTCGCTCCGATTTTCTCATTACTTTTAGCAAAATTTCTCCAATCAATGTATCAGCATCGGATATTTTTCTTATTAAATTTGAAGAGTAGCAAAAGTGAAAATCGACCAAATGAATTTTACCTCGAGCATATCGGGACTGCCGCAAATGGCGTGAGATGTATCACAGTAATAAGAGCATTTTCCATGAAAACATAAATTATTTGATGGCGATACGAAAAATGTTTTCAGTAGATCTTCGTCGGCAATTCTATATATTTCCGTGGTAATATTTAACGTTCGGCCGGTAACTGGCATCGCTCTTCGGAAACCTAGTATTCTATGTGCCACACCAAAATAATGTGCAAGCCCAAAGAATCAAACGAAAGAAGAAGAAGAAAAAAATAAAAGAAAAACGAAGAAATTTATATTAAAATGTGCACAATGATAATAAAATAATGAGACAGTTATGGATTTTTATCAGTGATTCAAATGAACAATTATATGAAAAACGGAAATTTGTGGTCGACATCACTCGAATGCTACCGATTTGGAAAAAGCAGCAGCACAAAATATTTAATATGTTGTTACATTGTTGGAGAGGAATGATCGAGGGTGAACAGTGCGCTGGATGCCGAACTCAATGCAAAACTGTATGCATTGTTACATTAAACATTTCATTTCTTGTGGATCAAATTTTTCCACTTGATGTTGCTACTGCTTCATCAATGTAACTTTTTCAATGTTTAACGTGCTTTCGCAAAGTTTTCCGTCGGTGCTCGAGTACGGGCATGATATCATAATATGTATACAGATTGAAGACGAACGAAAAAGACCTTACCTATCTAAATGGAATGCAGCGATCTCGGCCGAGTGCCGTTCAAAGTCGGTGAAATAAAAATGATTTGGTAACGTTTGCTGTTCACGTGGAAACCTACAATTTTGCATAACAAAAAAAAAAATGTTTAAGAAATTGAGAACGAAGAAAAATGGAAACGAAGTTATAAGACAATGGACATTTTGTTCTATGTCGGTTGGACCGTTTGACGAGACGATAAGTAGAATGAAATAGTCAAGAGTCAACAATGATAAACGATTTAACAATATTTAATTACGAAAACCATTTTAAAGTTTAAGCAATATCAATGTTTTCAAGTTGTACAGGCAACAAACATTTTCTTTATGCCAGAAATATGATTGGCAGAAATGTTGCATAAAATTACCTCATCGGTTTGAAGAGCGCTTCAAAATTGTTGCCATAATCAATTATTAATTTTAACTGCGTTCCTCCTTCTTTTTGCTCTGGAAGTTGAGAAAAAAAAGAAAAATGTTTTAAAAAAAAGGAATTATTGTTATTTTTTTCTGACAAAGTGAAAACATGGTATCGTCTCTAGCACGTATTTTATTTCTTTTTTAGTGTTCCATTCGCGAGACAGAGGCGAAAAGATCGGTTTGCGTTGTTTTAAATTTATTTTTTTATACCGCCACGAAGCCTATGGTGTAATCTATGGGACGCACCAAACGATCTTTAACCAACAAATGTTCATGCACACGCGTCAGATTACTGTTAAAACATATAAAGATTAAAACTTTTTAAAGATACGATGTGCCTAAAGACTTAAGGCAAAAACGAATGTGAAACGCATTTCGAGTTCTTTGTGACGCGCAATTTTCCTCTTATTTGCTTACCGCTCGGGCGCACCATCGAGAGAGAGAAAAAAAAGAAAGAGGGCAAGACCTTGTTCTATCTTCATCTTTCTCTCATGTTGCCCATAAAAATTTGGTTGTCGGTACATGTGCTGGCTCTATGTCGAATGTGTTGCGTCGTCTGAGCAAATATCGAATGTCGGTGTGTGTACGAGCATGTCTCTCATTTATACTTTTAATTATACGGAACAATAGAACCCAGCTTTTAATCTTATTTATAAAATAATTCGTAATAATATAGTGAAGCGGTAAAATAATTTCACTCGCGTAAAGTTTTCGCTAAATAAATTTTGGTGGAAAATTTTCCATGTTTAATCGCATTTTGTTGATACGAAAATTTTGTTTGTGCATGTAAGCATTATAACAACAACAATAACCGCATCAACAACATCATAGACGAGCGCGCACTACTTCAGACTACAATTTGTAGGGGCACACATACTATCGCGCATCACACGCTCATATATGACTCATGAACGAGTAGCAAGTTCATCGTCTGCCAACATCTCGGCAGAACATTTTGTTTGAAATTTAATGTGATTTTACCAAGAAGTATCGATGTGCGTATATAAATAAAATGCCGTGATTCTGTTCGTACAAAAGTTCTCGGTGTATTTAGTTTCGTGGTTTTCATTTATAGCTTAAGACGATGACGATAGTAAAGACCGAACAGCGAAGGTGGAATGAAAATAAGTGTGAGGAAGCGAGAATCGTTCAAGAAGTTGAAGGTTTAAAAGCTACTTACCAGCATGGAGAATCTGATGCGTTGCCATATCGTGTAATAATTTATCGACTAAAGTTGAGTTCTCTGGATAGAGTTCATTTTGTCTGATTTCCAGGTGAAATTTATCTAAGTTCGTTGAATTTTCACTGAAGCAAAACAAGAAAAGTGGGAAAGCGATAACAAAAACGTGGTCGTTACAAAACTATTTAAAGGAGGAGTGCATAGTTTTTTTTTCTTCTTACAATGTATGCTAAGATCTATGAAAAATGTGTGTGTGTGTGTGAGTGTGAGCAAGTAAATGGAAGATGAGTGGTAGACATATACATATACAGATACACACAAAGTGAGAGTAGATCATAAAAGTGCATTCGATTTTTTGGGTGTGTTTCTTTTTGCTAAAACCATCCGATTAAAACTACTTGAATTCAATCTGAAATTGCTTTATAATTTGATTCTTACTTTAGATGCATGTTGAGAAGTTCACCAAGCGATGGAAATGATTCTCTTTCACTGGATGCTTGTTTTGATGTTTTCTCATCATTCAATTTCACCTTTCGAACTGCTTCTTGTAGGTCTTCAAATTTATCCATTGGCTTGAATGTCGTTCGTATAGTTGTAACCGTATGCTCGCCACTCTGTTCAACTGCCACTACTGTTTGCATCCGTGGGATTATCAAATTTCTGCAACGAGAAGAGAAAAAAAAAGAGAGAATGCAATCAGATTTTCAAGCTCTGTGTAAAGCTATGCTGCAATTGAAATATTTTTGTGAAAATGAAATGAGAATCGAATGTTTACCCTAATTGAAATTTTTGTTTGAATGCTGAAAATACGCCATTTCGATCGGAATCGTTTGGTGCAACGAGCTTTGCATGCATTGGCGGTACCATCAAATGACCCTTTGACATATTCATATCCATTTGCAAATCGGCTATAAGTAGAATGGTAATCAACACCAGCGAAACGCCGAGGCCAACGGCTAAACGCTCTTTTAACTTCATCGATCTCATTAAACCCATTTTTCCTTCGGTTTCGTTATTTGCCAATTTAATTCGATCTCTCTGGTTTCTATCGTCGTCGGCGTCGTCGCCGTCGTCCAACTATGTCAACAGATGCACACAGCAATTGAATTTCAGGTGCACTACTCGATTTTGTATTGTTGTCTCGTTTTGTGAGTATGAGTATAGTTGTTTTTGCGTACGTGTAGATGCAGCTTGATTTTGTTATATAAAGTATCCTGAAATTGAAAACAGAACAAAGATAATTTTAATTCAATGCAATACAATATCCGTTTCGTATTCAAATCCAAAATCCAGATTGAAATCAAATCCAAGCTATTTAGCATAGATTTCGTTAGTCATTTTTGTCAAAGAGACCATTGGTTGTGCACTAATCAAAAGCATCCTATAATTTTCCGAATAGACGCATCATCATAAGTGAAGTCGATTTTTAAATTTTTGCTTTGGTTATATTAGTGCGTATGTGTGAGGGCGCTTTGATTCGCGCGGGCGTATGTTTGCATATTTCTATTTGATTTCAGCAGTGAACTAAATTAAACGGGAGCATACGATTGTACAGTGAAACATTGCAGATAAGAATTTTCGTCAAGGGATTATGATATGCTATCGCTTTGTTTGGAATTCTTTAACCTTCGTTATTCATTAATAAATATCATGTACGTGCACAATCATTTAATCGCGTTTTACTGCAATCGAATGAATAAACAATCTGATGCATTCATATTTTCTCATGCTGAAATGTCGGTTTTTATTTAACTTTCTTTGCCAACTTTCGAAATTCGGCATCTCCAATCTGATTGAAAAGAGTGTGTTTGAGCACAGACAGTATGTGGTGTGTGTGTGTGTATGTGTGCACATGCTCTGGTGCTGCTATTGAACCCAACCTTGATTGACCAAATAATGCAGAATATTGTAGATCATTGAAGCCGTCTGTGCTGCGTACAGCACGTACAAATGATTGCAGCACAACGATAAATATAAACATGCCTCAAGTGATTCATATAAAATCGTATCTGTTTCACGTGAAAATCGATTAAATATGCTAAAGATATTGGTTTTGCCATTCGCAATTGTGGCAAACAGAGTAAATTTGGCGGTGTTTTGAAGTGAATCGAACGGATAACCGATTGGATTGAAATCGATTTGGCATGAGTTCCGTTCGCTTTTGAAATCTAAGCGTATAATCAGCAATAATTTTCATCTTTTGCTCCTTCAACCAGATAATAACTTAATTATCGCATTCTATAAACGAATGAACAAAACATTGTGTAAAATTATCAATTATAGGTGTAATAAAGTGTCAGCAATTAAGCTGAAAGCGACTGTAACAACAGCGACAAGAACAACAACAACAACTAGATGACAAAGAACAATAACAGACATAAACTAATATAAAGCAATTGTTGGCCAACGGAAACTTCTATCCGTAAGATAAATTGCATTCATTTTATGCGTACGCCGTTTGCTTTGTGCAAATGTTGGCATCGTCATCACCGTCTTCGTTGTCTTTTTGAAACACGATCGAAATGAACGCGATTTTCCGCGCTCTGTAACACCGGCAGCAACAATTTGACTCACGCCACAAAACTCGGGAGAATGGGAAACGCTTTTCTATTTTCGTCTCTGTCTCTTTTTTTTTTTTTTTGTTGTTCTAACGACCATTGTTTCGATTTCTTTAAGCAAAGCCACAAATAAACAGTCTAACTGACTATAACATCAGCTCATTGCTGCAACCACCATGCTTATTTTAGCTTATTATCGCTCTTGCTCTCTCTCCCTCTCCTCCTGTTTTTTTAGCTCTTTCTCTCCCTTTGTCGATCTGCTTGTGGCGGAAAAGTTCGCAGATGGTCCGACACTGTAATTCGATGTGTCGTGGCGGCGGCTCTTCATTATAATACGGCAAATATATATTTTGCGCGTTCAACTTTTCAAACTTTGTTTCAATGGTAAAATGCGACGCCGTTGCGTTCAAATTCATGCTACACCGCTAATAATAATAATGATAACAATAATAATAAATAGCCCGAGCACATTTTTCATTATCTCCTCAGAAAAATTACTTTCAAAAGAATAATTTTCTTCTCTATTTTCACGTCTCAACATTTTACTTTTCCGCACACACCTAGTGTGTAAGGTAAAGTATTGGAATCGGTCGAAAAATTAACACCCATAAAAAATGTGTTTTCTGGGTGTTTTTGGGGCCAGGGAACACGAATCTAGCGTTTTTTCGATGTCCGAATGTATGTGCGTACCCTGTACCCTGTACGCTGTACCCTGTACGCAAAAATTTGTTAACACGATAACTTTCAAACAAGAAAAGTAATTCAAAATCTGACTTCACAGGATGATTGGGGGTGCCGAGGAATAGAAACCATTAGATTTTGAGCGACTTTGGTTGACAGAGTGAAGTGTCATGTCTGGTGTGATGCCCATGGCCATCCACGGGAAAAATTCAATTTTTCTTCCAAAAGTGATATTTAATGTATTCTTAAACATCCAAAAATATGTACTGGGAGGTTTTTGGGTACGAGAAAACCGAATATGACGTTAGTTTTGTGATACAAATAACTTTCGACACACTTTTCATACAAAAAATTCAAAAAATTTGGATTTTTGTATGGAAGCCATGCCTGTATGATATCGTAATGAGCTGAAACTTTGCACAGGTTATTTTTATCACACATAAATACCATTCCGAGAGTTTGAAGACATTTCAACGCATATTAGGGGCACCTCCCAAACAAAATTTTGGATTTTTCGCTCTAAAACGAAATTTTGTATGGGAAGTACCCTTAATAGGCATTGAAATTTCTTCAAACTTTCAGAATGTTAACTTTTTGTGAAAAAAATAACCTCTGCAAATTTTCACATGATTACGATATCATATAGGCATGGCTCCGATACAAAAATTCCCATCTTTAGTAGTTTTTGTAAGAAAAGTGCTTCGAAAATTATTTTTATCTAAAACTAATGTCAGATTTAGTTTTCTCGTGAATTATTTGAGTAAAAGATTTGTAATAAATGCATGTCGTGGATCACAGTGCGGAAAAGTTCATCTTACGGATGTAAGACATTTTATTTTTCTTCTTTTTTTTCAACTCTCTATCTCTCTCTTGTTCCCCTTTCAATTCTTTTCAGATTTTTTTCGCCTTTGGTTTTTTTCTTGTGCAAATTTGTGCAGTTGTTGTTTAATTTTCTGGGGATATTTTTCCAAAGCATCGTATGAACACCATTTTCACCCAACCACTCTCATGCTCATGCATTGAGCACATAGATTTATGAGAGAGCGAACGACACTCCAAAACATTAACCATTCAGTTGTAACTAACATTTGTTCGCGTTCCAAAAACTCTTCGACTCTCAAATCATGTGAAAAATCACATTCTAATTTTCGGTTTTTTTTATTGGCCCAGTACGCTCATATATTTTCAAGCCGTGACATTTCATTTTCGTTGCACTAAACGAGACCCGAAAGATTAATTCTCTTTTTTTTTCTGTTTCGTTCACCAGCGGGCGGAAAAAGCAGCAGTCAAATATGCCATGGAGTCGTTAAAACAAGCAGCACCGAAAATAATCAACGTTAGACGGTGGAAAGAGTGAGTAAGCGGGAAACGTACCAAGTAGCAAAATTGCGATCATAAAAAACGGTCGTAATTCAATCAAAACCATTGTATTGCCGCGATTTGTTCGCTTTGTTTTCATTCTCTCCTGCCCCGTTTGTCGCATTCATTCGGTTAATTAACTATGTAACAAAGGTTTTACAGTTGATTCTATTCTTGTTGCTTTTTGGTTCGATTTTGTCTATTTTTCTTTGCTAAAAGTCGCACTAAGATGTTATTTTACGACAGAATTCGTGAAATTTAAAATCATATGGTTCTATTTGTTGAGCCTTTGCTTTGGTCAAGCATGTATATTTATCGCGATGTTGTTGAAAGAATAAATACTGTGATTGCGTTTAAACGACGAAAGGAAAATTAAAAAAGGACGAATTTTGCTCTGGTTACATATTATTTGAGCCTTTATTTGTCGTGATTTTTACGCCGAATTAGAAAAAGGTAAAAAAAAGATTTCATTCGAATTTGCATTAATTTAGAGTCATAAAAAAGAGGTAAATTATTTAAGAGAAGCAGAACAGCTTGCTAGCTATCCGCTGATATTCGCAGACACTGAATCGGCGTTAACATGATGCTTGCGATTTGTGAACACATGTTTCGTACAATGTTTGAGCGTGGAAATTGGCGCACAAAGGATGATCATAAAGTTAGGTTGTCAAATTAACTACCGCAATTTTTAAGCTATTAACAAACGTTCAGCAAACGCTTTGAATTATGGGCCATTGTAATTATTTTCGAAGCATGTGCTTTGAACGCGCACACACCACCGCTCTCACACACCAACACAATAGCTTAGAGACAATCATCAAAAGACATTATATTTCAATATTTACCTTAAATATTACATTAACTGCTATATTTTTATAATGTTCATCAGCCGCAGCTTGTAAAACCTCTTCTGTAGGGGGTAACCGTGCCTAGCAAACGCTACGTCAGCGTAAATTTATGAATCAACAAAAAAAAAAGATTTCTAAATTGAATACGATGAAGCGAAAAAAATAAAAAAAGAGCCCGGTCGCGCGGGTAGATTCCAACGATTTCTTTGGCACGAAATTCGACCAATTTGAACGTAGATATTCTCAATGAATTTTATCGATTTGTTTTTCACTCTTTTTTATGTATTTTTGCACTTTCATTAACGTTAAGAGGCTTTTGAGAGTTAAAAAGCAATTAAAATTAGCACGAACAAGAGTAATTCAAGAATTTACGACAAAATCATTTCATTTAAATCGAACTTTTTGTTGTTTCTTTATACCGATTTTATGATTGGAATACTTAATCGAAGCTATTTAATGTTGGTTTTTTTATATTTTGGAAATTGTTTCACGATTTATGGAGAAATAATTTAACAAATAATATCACAAATCACTTGATTCAGTTGCCCAAATAGTACCTTTTTCTTTTGAAAAAAGCAAAATTAATCACATAGATAAATGGAAGCTTAAAGTTTAAAAATAAAATTTGGTTCCAATTTGATGCTACTTGAAAATTTGGCAAGAAGTGTGTCTGTTTATTTTTGTCTTTGTTTTCACTTATCGTCACGCATTTATTGTCAATGAACATTTAGAATCATTTTCATTTGTCACTTGAAACTTATTATTTATTTACTTGACAACGCAAAATGTGTGCACAAGTCACTTCGGATTCTTAATGTATATATCGTTTACATGAAATGCATGGGTGTTTGGGCGTTGCGCTTATTCCAAATGACTTTTAATAGATCAATGCGAAAAATATGTTTTCATGTCATTATTTATTGCGTTAAGTGTAGATGCGATGCTGAAAGGTGTATACGTAATTTTACACTTTACGGTTATTTTTGTTGTTGCTGTCGCTTTCGTTTATTTATATTTTGTGCTTGTCTGAACAACGAATCGACTTATCAATTTGCGTATGTGATTGCATGTGTGGACGTGAGTTTTTGATGAATTTGTATTTTGCTTCTTATTTTCAAAGTGCAAACGATTCACATATACGCAGCTGTTGGAGTGCTCTTAGCAGAGAAAACACTCAACTCTGGCTGAAGAATGACAAACGATAATCACAGCTTTATTGCCACCACCGTCGTACGACATTCACAAAAATGCTCACTATCTATGGAAGCACGATCAATGTCACTGTCACTGTCACTGACGCTGATAATGTAATGCGAATGTAATGAAAACCAATATTCACGCCACATTCACACTCGCTCTTCTTTGCACTTTGTTGATTCTCTCCCTCTCTCTCTCTATGTGTGTCGCTCTCTTGGTGCCAATCGAATATTCTCGCACACTGGTTTGGCCTGGTACGCGCGCGACAATTTTAAAAATGCGAAACCACAGGAACAGGCACTAATAAACGGCAATGCAAACTGACACGATGAAGGAAAAAAATCCGCTGTATGAAGCTTACGGACAGCAATGGTTCAAATGAGAGAATGAGAGCAAAACACAAAAAAAAACGCACACCGAAAATCACACTAATAATAAATGTGTCTATTTTGGCTGTTTACGTGTTTTCAGTACGTTTCCAATATCATCAGACTCAGCAGAAAGTCCATGGAACGGTGCTAAAGCAGCAGGAAGACAGAACGAAAAAAAAAATAACTTGTATATAATAGCACCGAAACATTTAATGCACATATAACATATTATATTGACTGTATCAGCAAAATAGGAATCGCATGTACCGACGCTATTTGCTGGTGCACATTTAATACGATTAAGGAACAATAAACGATTACAGCATAAATAAATTTATTTAACAGAACAAACGACGGAGAGACCGTACACGACTGATGTGAAAAAGACGAAAAATTTTTTATGTATGCGAGAAAAAAAAAGTATTTTTTCGATTCGAGAAAAATCACACCCGAACAAAATGTTTATATTTTTCTTTTTCTGTCACTTTTCACCAATTACCCGAGCACACCGAGTACAATTCTATCCACGCACAGTGAACCAATGTGAGCATGGGAATGTGAAGGTTTATTTGTTTGTTTTTGTTATTATTTTATTTTATTTTTTTCACTCACACTCTTCTTTCATTCACGTGGAAGATATATTACTTTCGATGCAGTTAAGCTAGAATCCATTTTTCATTGCACACGGATTTATTTCGTGGTATTATTTTTCACCGAGCGTGTACTCAATCAGTTTTATCAATGAATGTCGCTAGAACAAAAAATACCACAAATATAAAGTTTTTATTTTCACTCAATTGCTTAGTATATTGTGCTGCCGTGCGCATGAGAGATGTTTCACGAAACCGAGTTTAATTTCAAATTGTCGTATTTATTGGGAAATTATCATCAGATTGTATGAGGTAAATATTAGATAGCCTTTTTTTTGCAAACGTTAACATATATTACGCGCACAATTCCATTTAAAAATGTTATTTATTTGGACTGTTTCATTTATTTGTGCGGCAAAATTTGTTTGAATTTATTTCATTTTCATTTTATTTTTCCGGTCGTAAATTCTTGTTTTCACAGTTTTTATTTGCGGTATTTTTTTTTGATTTTGTGTTTCTAACACATGCCGTAAGCCTTTAGCAAAATATTTTTCTCACTGATTTATCTGATTTTCCAAGAACAATTAGTAAAACGCACGTGCGTTTGATGGATGAATTACAGTTGATTGGATTCGGGACCGTTTGATAGTTTAAAATTGCAATTCAAACCATTCAAAATTGAATTTGATGCGCACCAATGTCGGAATGTAAAAAATATAGAACCCGCAACAATTTTACAAATTGAATGCCTCAAAGTTGCTGTTTTTTTTTTCTCGTCACGTCGTTGTTGGAATGGATGTGGTGGCAGTTGATGATTAGCGCAGTTTGCTATTGACGTGAAGTAACACAATGTTTACGCAGAGTAGCGCGAACATCCAATACGATGCACACATTGTCATCAACCGTTCTATTCGAATGTGAATTTTGGGAAGCTCGACCGGCACACACACACACAGATTGAGTGTTGGTGGCCTGAAGGTCCTGAATGCGAATGACACTGATGAACTGCTTTTATAAATGTGCTGTCAAAGTTTTGGCCCAGTTTCCGATCACGACTTTTACCAACTTTTATGATGCCACTGCTGTTTCGTCTGTGAACAACAAAAAAATAACGAAAACATTATAAAAATTGAATGTTTCCCATTTGACGTCTTTAACTTAACAAACATTATAGCTTCACAGATAAATTATTGATGAATTTCTAACCGAAAAAAAAAATCAAATCACATAATTCAAAATACTTTGATTTCTTCAATCAAAGTGATGTGCTGGCAAGATGCGTATACCCGCGTCAATGAATTTTTTATTGAAACAAAATTTCAGAGAGACTTACAGACTAATATGATTGTTGAACTTCATCGAAAAGTGAACGAAACGTAATGAATAAATACAACAATGACACTAAACAAAATTTCGTTATCTTCTTCTTTTTGTTAGAACTGATAAGACGGGCATACGTTTACGGTGGGAGAGATGATACAATGATGAATAATGTAGAAGTATGTTTTGTTTTCTCTCTTTGTATGTATGGACAACGATTCTACCTTATCATCATCTACTCTGTGTGTCGATTTAATTCATTGCTTTAGTTTAAACATGTTTCGTTCCGAACAAAACACACAACGTCAACGGAAGAAGTGAATGTTTAAATTTAAATCATTCTTCGTTCTATCTCTTATAATAGGTCACTTTTTATAATACCAAAAGAGAATGAAGAGAGAGAGGAAGTGAGAGAGAGAACCGAAGAGTATAAATAGAGACGTTCTAATGCAAGCAACATAAAAGAGAGCATTTTAAAGTGAAACACATTAAAAATAATTAACTATTAATATTTAGCGCCATAAAAACGATAATGGTCTGTCTCTTTTTTCTCTTTCTCTTTGAAATGAACGAAAGTAGGTTGTTGCTCTGATTTGCGTGTTGAGAAAACTGAAACGCATACAAGTGAGAGTTGGCAAAAAGTTGAAAGAAAAAGAAAATTCGATGAGCCGCATTAAAAGTATACGAATGATGTTGAGAAACCTTTGAACACAATGACCGGCATCACTGACGTCACTATTTTTTTATCACCAAAGCCATACTGTAAGCAACCACCGACCAAGGCTCAAAGTCTGTGCTTTACCTTTGGAGTGAGTCATTTCGTCTGATTTTTTTTTTCATTTTTTTGGCTTCAAAGAAAAGCGATTCAGTACCAAATGCGATAAAGAAATTCATTTGAAAGTAGATTTGAAACAAAATCTCTTCATCGTTTCTAAAGTTGCTTACATTTTTGTTGAAATTCTCCGATTCAACGAACGCAGTATGTGCGGCATGAATTGCGATAAAATAAATGACAAATAATCAACCTGTAGATTCGTCCACAGCTCAATCAGTAATTGTTTATACAAGTTTTTTGCTTCCTCTTTCTCTCTCATCCTCTCTCTTGCTCGCAATATCTCTGTCTGTTTATCTATTTCTCTCTCTCTCTCTCTAACCACTGTCGGACGTAATAATTATGATGAACAAACAGTATGAAATTTGAGGGACAATGTCAAATTCAAAATATACTTCCAACAAAACACTCTCTCGCATAAGCGTCATAAATAATAATAATAAAATACAACTGGATAAACAAATGCACGACTCGTAACAAATTGTTTTTCTATGTAGAAATACCCTTTAAAAATGGTCTATAAATTGTTGATGGACTTCCTCAAAAATATTTGTATCGCAGGCACGGTTAAAATAATGTAGCCTTTTGATCAGTAAATGGAATCCGGACTATGAGTAATAGTAATTATTGCTAGGGGATAACCATGAATTGCAGATCGAATAATTTATAATAATAAACGCTATTTCTCTCTATTTTTCACTAATTCTTCTAGTATTTCTACTAGTTTGTTCTAATACTGCTATTTTTTGCTAATTTTTCTAGTACGTCAAAAATATTGCATACGTCAGATTGACTGCATGATCGAATAACCGAAATGTGTTTACGTAAATGTTTCAAGTTGACACTTTCACCGTGTATATTTGAAGCAGGCATGTAATCTATTTCTATTTATTGAAGTTTCAGTCCTTTGAATATTGAAATTATTATCTACATTACAACATCAGTGCTATCAAATCAAGTTTCGGGCTGTATATATTTTATTAAAATAATTTTTAAGTGTTTTTTTCTCTTGATTACACTCCACTTGCTTTGTGCTTCCAAGCCTGCTTCATTCATTTTATATTTTTCAATTGAATTAAAATTATTTAAATTCAAAATTGATTGATAAAATACTAAAACAGAAAAATTGAATATCGTGTGAGTACTTGTCATATAATTATTGTTTACCTAGCGTTAAACGTCAAGTTTTACGTTTACAGAGACGTATATGTTTTCAGTAAGAAATCTGTCATCAAATCTACATTTCCGATTGCAATTCGTAAATTGTAGTTAATACAGATGGAACGTGCTTGGTTAAGTGCCATTGAATATATTTTTATTTAAAAATGGGAAAAAGCGTATTTAACTACATATTTTGATACATTTTAGTTCAACACTATTCAATTCGTTTGTTTTGTGAATTTTATTTGAATTAATTATTGCAATAAATTCAAGAATAAATTCTTACTAAAGTATATACGTGTACAGTGCTAATTCTGCTATTTATTGCTAATTTCTCTATTTTCTTCATGTAAATTTCCCTATTTTTTGCTAATGTGCTAATTCTAATTCGCATGGATATCCCCTAGAATTATTGTATGTGTACTTGTCCGCCATCGTCCGCCACTATTTTCATTAATATTGATTGAATTTAATTATCGTCGGTTGCACGAAACAATTTTACTGAACCATTATAAATGAAGTGAACTGCGATAATCGAATGCAAGTGAGTCATTGAATTTATTGATAATTTTTAATAGATTCAGTGCAACCTTTTAGCCTCAAATGGAATATAAGACACACGACCATGTTCTGTTTTATTTGTACTATATTGTTGTATAGAGAACGAGTCATGCATTCAAATTAATCGGAAAATAGCAATAATAATAACATCATCATCATCATCATCATCATCATCGTATGTCTAGGGGAGAGAAACCAATGCTAGTTTTTCTAGTTTATAGCTAATTTACTAGTTTTTAGCTAATTTACTAGTTTATTGCTTGAATAATCTAATAATGCTAATATTCCTTTATGAAATTGCTAGTTTTCTAGTTTTTTGTTCTGTCAAATGACAATCAAATGATTGTACTGACACAATGAAGTATTCTGACGTTTTGTTGTTCAGACATATTTTTATGTGTTTTGAATAAATATACACTTATAATAGTGAAAATTAGTTTAATTATTCTTTTTTAACACAAAATCGTGCATAAAGTACTTGTTTCTTTCAATAGTCGACTTGTAAAATTGATTTAGTCACCAAATCATGGCAGAATATCAAAATGGCGGATCAAATAATTTTTGCTAATTTTTCTAGTTTTTGCTAGTTTTTTTCTAATTTTCCTAGTTTTTACTTGAAATATAAAAAACTAGCTAATGGTTTCCGTCCCCTAGTCGTATGTTGCAGCATTGTTATACATATTTTGATGCAAGGGGTTGAATATTCTATACAGAAAGAGAGAGAGAGAGAGAGAGAGAGAGAGAACATGAACTGTCGCTGAATGTAAACAGATAGTTCAGATGTACAATAAAAGCCACAACCATAAATTTCTTAAATAGTACATTTTTTTTATCGTGGGTTTGTTCAATGAAATTATTTGTTTGCATTGATTTGGGGCATTATGGGCCAGTGAATGTGCAACGACTGTATATTTATTTATAATCAAATGGATACAAAATTTTGTCAGCGAATAGTATGGGGGATTAGTGATGATTAGAATGCTTTTAGCCCATGCCCAACCAAACACACACAAAATGTTGACGGTGATTGTCAAAACTATTTGTGTGACTAAACATATGCTAAATGCAATTAAATTGTACAAAACGCTAAAATAAATTGCTTGATGCATCGATTGCTTATTTATTAAATCGAATGTAATATGCACGGAAAATGAAACTGAATCATACGAAATAGATCGGTGAAGGGGGAGGAGGGGAGCCGAGATAGACTCTGCACCACTTGCAATAATAAATGCAATTTCATATTAACTGATTAAAAAACAGTTTCCATGTTTTTCAATTACGCTGAAATTTGCAACGCTACCAGGGCCAGTGACAACATATTTATGCAATGCCACTAACAAAATATTCATCATTATAGATTACGTTCGATTTTCACCTCATACCATTCACCATTCATCCAATATTTTTCGGTAGTGTATGTGTGTGCAGACGAGAATTTTGGTGTTAACTGAGTGTAGTCGATGTGACCATCGTGTGTATCGGGTATGTGGATCGTTCAATTTGTTGATGAGTCAAAATGGTGCGCGAAAAACCAAATAATTACTACTTTCATTTCAATTTTGTCATTTGCTTTCCGCGTTATGAAAACATACACATATTTATACGGATACACAAACGAGCAAAATAACTAAATTTATTATCGATCTCCCAAATGGTTTGTACACACAATTCGTTTCATGTCTTCTTGTCGCACTCGCAATAGTTGCTCTCTTTTTTTACTTTTAGTTTGTTTTATGTGTTTCCAACTTTTCATCGAAAGGACTAGAAGGAGAAAGAGAAAGAGATAGAGAAAAGAAGATAGATAGACAGACGCATAGAGAGAGAGACTGTGTGAGAGAGAGAGTGAGAGAGAGAAAGAGATATAAAACAACAAATACTGAAACAATTCAATTTCGAATGGGAAAAATTGAGCACTAGATTGAGCACGAAAAAAAAGGCGAACAGAAGAGTAGAACCGAGAGAATCACATGAAAAAATTATCAAGTTTTGTGAGTCAATGTGCAATACAATTTTCGCATGAAACAAACAACAGAATAACAACAAGCAACATCCGAAATGTTGGACATATTCTTGTATTCCGACAATTTTTTCTCACGTGAGATTGAAAAGACATGACGCAAAAGAAAAATGCTTCGAAAAGGAAAAACGATTGTTAAATCCAATGGGAAATATATGGAATGAAAGCGGGTGCTTTCCATCTTCATGTAGGTGTAT